CAACTGTGACTTGGAACAGTTTTGATAATATCAATCTATCACCTTAATTTTCTTTTGCTTGTTTTGGTATTATTTAATATCCTGGCAGAATTTTGATTTGGAAAAATATATTTGTATCTTGTGTGCATGGAGCAGAAGGACACTTTTGTCTTCTCACATGCTGAAAGGTTTTGTCTGCCTTTTTAATTTCTATTTGTCTACATCTGCAGAACCTTCCGAAGATGGCAGGCAACAGAAAGAGAGAAGTCCCCCTGACCACACCTCAGCGCGCACTCCTCCCAGTACGCCCATTAAAATAGAGGAAGGTATGTTCTTCTGATTTGGGGGCCAGGGGAAACCAGTAACTGCATCATTAGTGACTGACGCATGAAAATATATGAACTAGTATCTAATAAAGGTAAATTATTCCTTGTATATTATTATTATTATACTACCTAAAATATACTATACTGAACTATGAGTGTAATAGGCGTTATGTTTACAATAATAAAGAAGTGTGCATTGATATAAAATTTTCATCTCTTCTGAATTGCCTTGTCATCTCTTGGTGTTTCTCAACTAATTTACCCTTTGTACTTTTTCTGCAAGAAATAATTGCTCTTTTGAAATGAAATAGTGTCTGATGGTGAACCAGACACAAATTTAGATGCTTTGGTAAATCTCCTTCACCAATTGCACATTTCTTAAACATTATTGTACTTGGATTACACCTCAGTAAATACTTTTTCCAACTCAATTTGAATCTAAATATCATTATTTGCTCACCTTATATAGTAGTTTTAACTGAAATGCGAGCAGGGCTGGTACAGTCTGCAATTTCCTCAAAAAAGGATGAAATAACAATCTTGAACAGGTGTAATCTAATTTTTGTCTTGTTTCCTTTACCTTGTACATTGGATATATATCACTTGTCTGTTAGTCTTCCATTCACTACTTCATCTCATTCTGTTTTCTATAAGAATGGTTGCAACCATTCTTCTAACTTAACACAATGGCTGTGATGAATGCATAGATTCTCTACTTGTGCTTTTTTCTTCTTGTGGCTGCGTTACAAACAGGAGATGGATATGCTAAAGAGTACCTGTTACCATAGTAAGTATCATTCCATACTCTGACCTGCTTATGTGCTTTGCTTCACTCTTGCATCTTTGTTTACTAAGGGTTTTTTGTTGATTTTGCTTTTTTGCTTTTTTTTTTTTAAAGCAGGCTTTTTCAGTTGAGATGCCGATTTCTTTAGTTCTTTATTTCATGCAGTTCTAGGTAGTTAAAGATCCTACGTTAAAATGCACTCCCCCTTCGAAAGAGACTGCAAAAGTGACATTATGTGTCTCCATATCTGTGTGTCTAATTCCTCAGTTATAAAAAGGAATAGTCTGAAGTTGTCTTTCAGGTATAGCTGAAACGGGTCTGGGAGTTTCTGCCCCAAAAGTTTGCTGCTGCCTACTCAACTTGGACCTGGTAATAAAATCCAGGAAAGTTCCTACTCTCTTCCAGTGCAGAAATGTTACCACTGACTTGATTTAAACTTACCTGGCAGACTTCTGCACAGAAGTGGATATGGAACTACTCCTATGTTATGTATGTCAGATGTAGGGAAATTTGAATTCCAACCAAGGAACAACAGCAAGTGCTTGGTGGCAGCAACTCCTACAGCTGTTTCAGCGAGACCTGCAGGGCTACATCAGATTATACCTTGAAGTAAAAAGGATGTTTGGCCCCTTCCATTTGTATGTCCTGTTATATCCAAAAGTCAGTGTGTTTGTCATAAATATGAAAGTCAAACTACATCGTAGGCATCTGTGATGTTACTATAAAGTTCTCCAACCTGAAAATTCTTTTTAACTGAGAACTGTGTTCCACAAACTCTTCTAGTTCAGTAAGTTTTCCAGGACAAACATACAAAGCTTATTTTTGAGATTAACTGGAAGTTCACGCCATGACAACTTTGGCAGAAGTTCTGTTGAATGACAGTGTTCTCTGTATACAGCTGCTTCTCAACTTTTTTCCTTATATTGTTTCTACTTAAGTGTAGCTGAAGTCAGAAGACTGTTTTATGTTTAACAGTTACAGTCTAGTTTGTATGTTTGTCCACGTTTGTGTTGAAAAAAGCATAAACCTTTATTTTCATAAATAACATGAATTGTAAATACACACCAGTATTTGTTACTTTTGAAACTCTTATGCCACAGTATATATAAAGGGAGAGAGAGCATGGATGTAGACATGATCATTCTAAAAAACTTAAGAAATTCTGAGGTATTGCTGCATTCTTAAACTGTAAATAGGCTTTGCAGCAAGATACACTTTTAAACCTTCCTAGTTATGTTACTGAAATCCATCAAGTAGAATAGCAAGGTGTTTACATATTGTATGCTTGATTTATTGAATGTGGAATTTGTAAATCTCCCTAATTCTGGTAAAATATTGCCCTTAGTGAGATAAACAGACGTGTTTTTGATTCCAGCATAATTTAATTTTAAGAATTTCTAATCTCTTTTTTTAAAACTTTAAAACTTGTTTTTAAATGTATTTTAAAAAGATAAAACTGACAGTCTAATATGGTGTCTGTTCTAAAAAATGGGCCAGCTAATGAGTAGAATATAATATTTTCAGTTGGAAGGGACCAACAGTGATCATCTAGTCCAACTGCCTGACCACTTCAGAGCTGACCAAAAGTTAAAGCATGGATTTAGGAAGCTCATTCCAGTGTTTGATCACCCTCTCAGTAAAGAAATGCTTCCTAATGTCCAGTCTAAACCTCCCCTGGTGCAGCTTTGATCCATTCCCACATGTCCTGTCACTGGATACCAGGGAGAAGAGCTCAGCAGTGCTTTCACTTAATTCCTCAAAAGTAAAAGTAAATCCATAAAGAGTGTAGTGCAGAATTGTAGGTGGTGGTGCTTATAAATTTGTGTCATATGCATATACAGGTTAAACTGGAGCTTCAGGAGGCAGCTTGTAATGCACATAATTGCTTTCTCTTTTTTACTGTTTTAAATCCTGCCTGCATTATAACTTTTAAACTGCTAACTTGTGCATTCTGAGTGTTTGGCACTGAATACTAGTGTGTTTTGTTTATTTAACCTCTTAGAAGTTTGCTCCAGGCAAAACATGTTGGTTTTCTAGCAGGTATCCACAGAACAGAGCCCTCTAAAATATATTAGAGGATTATTAATTCCATCTGCCAGAAACAAAAAGAATGCTCACTGTCTTTTCCATAGGAAAAATGAGAAAGTATCAAGTATTTTCTGTAAGTTCTGGTGAAAGCCTTCAGTCCTTTCAAATGAAAATGATTAAGAATTTAAAAGGGGGGAAAAATAGTTTTCTTTCTTTTGTGCCTTACAATGAGTATGGATGGCCTGGATTTTGTTCTAAATTCCTCCTTACCTAACATCAGTGGGGATGTATTTGACACAACTAACGAGATACTTCTCTGCTATAGTGCAGTGATGAATATTGCAGGGAACTTCAAAAGTGCTTGTGGTTAATGTATATGCACAAAGTGGAGCTTTAAACAGAACATCTCTAAAGCTTAGCGGTGAGTGAGAAAGTGTTACAATTGAGGCAGTAGTGGTTCACCTTTGGACCTGAAGTTATCACTAGATTTTTGATGTTCTATTATACAGGGGTGAGTTTTGCTGTTAGAAGTCACATGCATTTTAAAATTTGAAAAAAAAAAAAAAAAAAAAGCAGCTGTATTGCTAACCCACTGAATTAATTTAATTTGATAAAACTACATGGATTTTAACTTAAAGGAATCCATAATATATACTCATATCCTGCAAAAGTAGTGAAGCCTTTGTGATAGGAAATCATATTCTGAAGCAACATCTGTTAAATCTCGTGGAAAAATATTATGAAAATCCAAGCACTGTGATTAAAAATTGGCAAGCCAACTGTTGAGAAATCAATGGATTTGCATGTATCAGATCATTACAAACCAGCAATACATTTTATCCCACCAAAAGAAAGAAGAATCAAGATACAGAATTTCATGATGCTCTTTTCAATGCCAAGGAAAACTGTAGTAAGTTTAATTCCTGCTCACTGTACAAAAATCTAATGTCCTTGCAAATAGAACATGAGAAGAGTCCAAACAGTCCCTTTCTTGCTGGTTAAACCCACATGATGGAATTCAGCTTTATCTGTTCTGTGGCAAAAAGGTGAAAAACAAACAGAACTTTTGCATATCTTATTTCTATCTCTGTGCCCAAAGCCAAAGGAGAACAGACCTATTACAAAGGCTTTTACGCAAAGTAAATCTATTAGGTTTATTTTTTATAGAGTGCGCTCACCATCAACTTGCTTGGCTTTCTCTGTTCTAGGGACACTCACATTAACTGTGTCCCTGTCTGTCCATCCACCAGAGACACAGCAGGACCAGACTTACAAAGATGACAGTGATGCTGCAACTTTCAAGCAAACCCTCCCAGATCTCACCCCTGATGAGCCTTCAGAAGCACTCGGCTTCCCTCCCTTAGGAAAGGAGGAAGGGAGATGTGATGAAGATGTGCCCAAAAGCCAAACGGAGCCACCTGCAGTGGAAAATAAGGAACCCCAGTCTCAACCTGCTGAAGAGCCAGTAACACCAACAGCTGAGGAGGGGACAGCAGCTGATGCAGGTAGTGATGAATCTCCAGGGAAGTCCCCATCGAAAAAGAAAAAGAAGTTTCGCACTCCTTCCTTCCTGAAGAAGAGCAAAAAGAAGAGTGACTCCTAAAGGCCAAACACACTGCAGAAACACTGTCATATTTTAAAATCCATTAACCACTAGAATGTACCAGATCGTACTGAGTGTTTTGTCTTCTTATGTAAATGAATGCAACAAGTTATCCAACCAGCCCCCCCAATTTATGGCTTGATTGTTTAAGGTTATAACCAGAAACTAGTGTCCAAAAAGGTGCTAATCCTGTGTTTTCAGCAGCTACCACAGACCTGATCCCTAATTTGTAACTAAACATAAATGACTTCCACGAGGAAGGCATTAAATCACTTTTTAAAATCTAAAGCCTGCACTGCTTTACAAAAGAATAAAAAAAGGTTAATGATTAAAAATAAAAGACATATTGCTTACCATGAGAAGCATTATTTTCCAGTAGTCTGTTCCAAGTCACAAGTAAATTTCTTCTTAAATATTGACTTTCAGAGAGGATGCTTTTGCAGTGGTGTTTTCAAGGGGGATGTATTCTTGAACTGACATGTAAACTTCTGCAAGCTTGTGATCACAGACCATGTTCTAATCAAGCTTTGAGGCTATCCATTCCTTCCTCTCATTCTCCCCTCTGACTGTTGTAACAAAATGAAGGTGTTTTTTACTTTGTTTTATTTTATAACTGGCACATGAAACCATCTTTGATGTCTAGGACTAAAATAACTGTGGTGTGTTCCGCTCATGTTGTGCATTGAAAGAGCCCAATCTTATTTCTGGTGAATAGAGTCTAAGGGAAATTGTCTTTCAATCTTGCCTCCCTAAGAATCAGTCATATGGTAATTTGGCTGTTAGAAAAGGTTAAAAAGTAACAGTATTAAAAGTATTTTGGAAGTTTTTCAGCTGGTGGTGTGTGAAGCATGGGCAGTTGTATTTTGGGCTTTAGCACAGGGGTTTTTTTTTCCTCTTAAAAATCCCTTGGGTGCACATGCAGACCTGCTGCATGTAAACCCTATTTGCAGCCTTTTGTGTTTGTTCCTTCCCATGATAAAAATGTAAATGCATTACACTGAATATTTAACCTTGTTTAATACTAATTATTTTCCCTTACAAAAAACTGGCATTTCTTTAATGATTTTTTTCTTTGTTGCCAGCAGTGAAGTACAGAAATCCCCAGTACCCTTAGAGATGTATTTTCACCGTTTGCTATAAATGTTTGTTTAATATGTAGCATGGTAAAGAAAATCACTTTGACCACTGATTTCACTATTTTGCAGTTATTGCCATGCTTTTGTCTATCACTTAATTGTAAAAGTAGTTTAAGATCAGACAGGTAAAGCTTGCAGGAATTCTCCAGACCCCAGCCAGAAGCAGGGAAGGCTGGCAGCCATTTCTGGTTTCAGCAGCAGACACCATTGACACCCCTGCGTGGGAGAGGGAAACACGCTGACTCACAGTGTCTGTAACAACACAGAATAGGGATGTAACCTTTTAGGACAATATTAAACATTGCAATTGGTAAAATAGAAAACTAACGCCTTACATTCATGCAGCAGAAAGCATCAAAGGGGAGAGGTGGGCTGAGCGGTTGGACGCAGCCACGCCTGAAAGAGGCCTATGTTAGGCTGGGAGGTGCTGGTACCTCGGGCTGGTTTCTGGCAGCAAAGGGGAAACAGCTGAAAGGGGAATTAGAGCTGTAAAGCTTCAGATGAGAGAAGAGTTTCGAGGTAGGAATTGGTACGGTGAGAAATGTGAGGTCACCTGTTGTGGAAGGGGTAGAGGGGGGTGGCCCAGAGCAGCAGGGAAGCACCGTGTGGGAGAGCCCCTGAACAGCGATGTTAGTCAGGACTGCATGGCACGAATGGCTTTCAGCTTGTATTAACCTTGTATGTCTCTGTACACTAGGAAGCATACAATACTTATTTTGCTAAATTGTGTTTTATTGCAGGGTCGTAATTCAATGACTAATTGCTATATGTTTCAGTTCTTTAATGGAGTCCCTCCATCTATCTTGACCACATATGCAATGACTCTTAATTTCTAATTTTGTAGTTTGTTCTTTTAATTCTTTGTATTACAATATGAAATGTAGTCATGTATGGTATGGTTACACACTTTGGGGCAGAATAAAGTCCTGTATTTTTCTTTCTTTCTTGTATCATTAAGTTCTACTCACAAATAAAACTCTTTAAAGAAGTCTTCTGCTGTTGTACAGATTGATGCTGTTGCCTGTTGAATTTAATTTGCTCCATTTTCTTTTAATGATTAATGTGTGGAGTATTTTCTGAGATGCATAAAAGCAGTTGTTACTCAGTCAGCTGCTGCAGGGCTTCCTTTCCCCAGCTGGGCAGGAGGCAGAAGCTCCCCCCACCCCGCCTGGGAGTCAGGACAGCGAGTGCTGGAGGTTGGCTCCTGGCAGGAGGCTTTTGCACCTCAGGTGGAGCTGAGGACCCTGCTCTGGCTTCACTGAAGCCCTGTGTTTGGTGCAGAGGGGTGTAACACCTTAACTGTGATTAACTGCCCAGACACCTGTACAATGTAACAGTTTATTTGTAATGCAAAAAGAACAACGACGCTTGGTCATCAAAAAACATAATATAAAGAAGAGCTCAAAATTTAACTGTATATTAAAAACAGTCCAACTGGTGCCAAAGCATCCCTTGGGCTCAGGCAGCCTGTAGTAAGCTTCTCCCTCTTGGTTGTGATTGATTGGTGTTTTAAGGCGTTGGTACAGCTTCTCTCAGGCCCACGGAGCATTTGTGGTGATCTCGTGACAGCCGTCTAGAACCTCCCTGCTGGAGCTGCCTGCGGGGTTGGGTCTGTGCTGGTCCGACCCAGACAAACCTGGTTGCAGGCAGGGGCTTTGGGCTGGTGTGTGCTGGTGGGGCAGGGCGAGGGGCAGGGAGGAGCAGAGTGTGCGCTGCTCCGCAGCACCTGACAGGGGATTGGGCCGATCACACCATGCCGCTGTCACGCGTCCGCCTGTCTGATGATCTTCATCATTTACTCAACTGTTTTGCCAAGAGTGGGGTCATGGAGAGGTCCTGGGAAGCTGGTGATAGTTCTGTGGTTACTTCCTACTCCTCTTTAGTTGGCTGTTTTATAGAACCAAGTAAAACGAAGGGGATGAGGAACAAAGCTCCACAGACAGTGAAGCAAATCTCTGCCCCTGCCAGCCAGTAAACTGCAAAAGAAACACAATGTAGCTGGTTAGTGTGCTTGTCCCTGCATCCCTGCGAACAGGCCCCCAAAGCTGCTGCTCCCCACAACTCACTGGTACAACCAGAGAGCACAGAACTACTGTATCTGTCACTGCCCCTCCTCGCTGGCACAAAGGTTACAAAGGGGGTGGCCACCAGCAGTGCTGGTTCTCATCTGAGGGAACACCGCATTAGCCGGGGTTACTGTACCCGGGGAATTCTCATCCTTGCCCACCTCACAGCGGGGAAGTTCCTGTTTGCTCATTCAGCTTTACAGGGCAACTACTTCACCACCCCAGCAGCTCCTCCACAGCTGCTCCTGGCAGTGTCTCTTGCTGCTTTAGAAGGTCTCTCACCGCTGGTACCGGCCTCATCCTGTGAAACACTCCCCAACACAGGGCTGGGGTGGGAGGGCAAGGGCAGGACAAGTGCTGCACTCAGGAGCAGTTTTGCTGTGAGCTCTTCCTTTCAGTGCTTGGTGCAGGGACGGGGGCAGGAAACAGGTTCTGGCTTTGCTCAAACTCAACATTAGGTGTCCAAGGTCACGTTCTGACTTGCTGCGTGGCTGCTTCCCCTCATTCTGTCCCTTTTTACCCTCTAATTGCTTGGGGAACTGAACCCTGTACAGGGGACACTTGTGCTCCTTAGGCACAGCTGGGTTTGGCCTTAGCCAGGGCTGCTAGGCCCTGCCCATGCCCTGGGCTCCGGGGCAGGAGTGTGGACTCTTTACAGGTTACAGATGCTCTGAAAAGTTCTTTATGGCACATTATAGGCTGCAGCTTCATGAGCTGTGTGGAACCAGTTACCACAGCACAGGAAACCTTGATTTCACCAACTCCCACTTACCCAGTGCCCAGGTGGCCCCTCAGCAGGCGGGGTCACTTGCTAAAGCAGCTAAAATTAAGCCCAGGAAAGGCAAGGCTGCCTGGTCAGTCTCTGACTCCCTCTGGGGTGCTCCGCTGCCCCCACAGCTCCACCTGGGGCTTGGTTAGTTGGATGCTGTTGCTGGAATTTTTAAAGAGTGAGGCAATACCAAATTATCTCTGCTTGTACAAACTTTTAAAATTCATTCATGAGGCTTTTGCTGGTGCTACCAAGGACCATGTCCTGCCCCTGGTGCAGCTCTGAGGGGTACCACTTCTGCAGAAACAACTTTATGGCTCTGAAACGTTCTGTGCTTCCCCTTCCCCTTTTCCTTCAGACACCTGGGCTGTGGGGGCAGAGGGAGGTTGGAGGGTGGCAGAAGCAGGAAGGAGCACAAGGCCACACTCACCTGTAGCCGACAGGATGGGTCCCAGGGCTCTGGCAAGGGCGCCCAGGCTCCTCAGGATCCCCATGACTCGGCCCTTCTGGCTGGCAGAGCCTGTGCAAGCAGAGAGCTGCTACTCAGCATGGAGGCTTTGCTTGGGGCAGGGAACACAGGCAGAGCAGGGCAGGGCTCTAGCTCTTCCAGAGATAATTCCCCCATCTCCCCCTCCTTTCATTTCACACTCCCTGCCCAAGCTGCCTTGATTCCCCCTCCACCAACCAAGACGAACATGGCTGCCACACGGACAGAACACCAGGGCTTGTCATGGACAGTGTGCAGTGCACCGCCTCCCCGGCAAAAACCACCACCAAAACCTTTACCTTGTACCCCACATTTGCTTGGAGTCACAGGTGTATAATAAATACAGAAGCTTTGATGCAAGTTACATAAGAGCAACATAATAGTGACATTAATGAGCAAAGATTTACTTTTTCCCCCCAGCAAGCACCGTAGTGCTGGCAACCAACTAAACCAAAGCTAAAGAAAGAACTGTGTCATCCACAGATGGCAACGCAGCTACCTCTGCTTTACAGGGTTACGTAGCAACCAGCACCACAAACCCAGGAGGTTTCAGAAGGTTCCTTAGGTCTTTTCTAAGGAATTGGGAAGAAATGATTACTGCTGGCAGCGATGGCTGGCATCTCTTTTAGAGAACTCAGGCCAGTCCCTGCTCAGTGCGGGTTGTGGCCTTTGCCCACTCTGCCTCATCTTCTTAATCATAACCAGGAATAAGGCTGCTGCAAGTTTCCCTGTTGCACTGGGACAAGCTCTGTTACACAGTACAAACCTACAGTGTGACACTAATGGTCACTGAACAGATTGTTCCTGTTTGTTAGCTCTGAAATGACGCATTATGGAGTGCTGAGAGTTTTCAGAAACAGCTATAAGTCAGTTTGGGGACTGTGCTCCCTTGCGGGATGTTTCTGAATTTTCCAGGGTCAGGATATTGTCCTCCTGTCTCCAGCAGCCCCACTTGGCTTCCCTCATGTGAAGGACACTCACAGAAGGGATGGAGCCAAAGGCTGCAGCACCTCCAGCATACGGCCCACAGCCCAGCGCGCTGCCACTGCAGGTAACTGCAGTCATGGATCGCTGGCTGCGCTGGAAAGGGGCAGCACACACCTGACCGGGGAGGGCTCGCTTCCAGGCTTTTAGCCTCTCTCCTGCAGGGGTGGGTATCGTGTCAAGGATACACCAGTACAGTGTGGAGCAGCATTTCTGCTTTCCTTGTTAATGCATCTGGGGAAAAAGAGGACTTTTATAAAGCCAAGCAGCAGCCCGAGTCACCAGTCCAACATTCAGCTCCGAGGTGGCCCTACACCACCAAATTGAGGTCAATTCTGTATTTGAGCCAGGTCTATACAAAGGTCAGTTATGTGGCCAAGGGCTGCTGCTCAGAGCAGGAAAGACACTCACCATAGCCTGACACCACTGCTGACAAACATGGGATAACGATGGCCGCAGCTGGAAAAATCCACAAAAAAGACTGTCAATGAACAGCAGAGAGCTCAGAACGTTTACAAGAGCAATAGTGAAAAACATGTGGCCCAAACTCGTTACTACTGCAGAGAAATATGCCGAGCTCTGGGGCACTGTACCAACAATGAATCATCAGGTTTAATCTGGTTCAATAATGAAAACACCCTCTCAAAGCCAACCTGCACGAAGAGCCCAGAGCCACGAGTGCTCCGCACAGATGTTTCGCATTAGTGTCTCTCACTCTGTGAGCCCACAGGAAAGGGGTGGATAGGTCAGATCAGCTCACTGGTAGTTTTCCAAATAGCTGTGGTCTTGTCAGCTGGAGCTCGTATTTCCAACAGAGGTGGCTGCGCACAGAATCACACCGTCCCCATGCATATGGCTTTACCCTACCCATGGATGAAAGGGGCAGCTACATTCTGTCTTGGGAAATCAGACATTCAAGTCCAAGAAGAAGAGGTTACAAAATTTTTGGACATAATCACTGCCCTCTTACTGAAACAGGGGCCTTTTCTGCCAAGAAGGAAGTGCCTTAAGCATACAAAGCAGACTCTTTTCTGGGAAGAAAAGGACAATTGGAGAGCAGGAACAACAGACATGTTGCCTTAATGGCAGGTGCCCTCACTCCTGGGGCAGAGGCAGGAAACAAGGAGAAAAGAGGCCCCTCCAGACGCATTTCTGGCTGGCTTAACTGGGGAAGAAATGGGGTCTAGGTATGGAGCCTAGGAAGATGCAGCACCTAATTTAGAAGCACAGTTAGACAAAATTAATACCTCCTCCTCTCACCCCTCCTCACCAGTGGACTTACAAAAGCAAGTTAATCTGTAGGTAAGATGTAGATTTTGAAACCTGTCAAACACAGGTGTCCCTAGACAAGCAAGCTACTAAACAGATGTATTCTGTGGTTTACAGTTTACTCTCAAATCAAGCAGTATCATGCAAAAGACTAGTCTTCTCCTTTTGTAATATTTGAAGCTTCTTAACAACAGTTAGCAGCTCTGGGAATATCTGAAATCTCTTTTCAGATAGATAGGCACTTCAGTAGATTAATCCAACTTCATTCACACGTTTCCCTGAATAACAGCTTAGATTGGCAGACTATTACTTACATAAACTCTTAAACATCTTTGAAAACCAACTGCACTTATCAGAAATACATAGAGTTTTGCTCCCTCCCTGAGCCAGAGTTTGCAACACAAGAGAGCAGAGCGGTGTGCAGCCCGCAGGGCCCTGGGCCACACTGCTCAGGGCAACGCTGACCCACCCCCACGCTCCCTCACCCCTACGCTCCCGCCTTCAGCTTCAGAGCCTGCAGGTCTCTGCAGCCTGTTACCTAAGAGATAATGCAGCCACCACAGACACAAAAACATGCTGTCTCCCTTCTCCTGAGCTGAGCTACTTAGTGAGTATTTTGCTTCCAGGTCCGATAAGAGGAGGGAAAAAACACTCTCAAGAGCTCTGCAGTGAGACAGGACAACAGGAGCACTGGGGATGCTTCCAAATATCACCATGGCAACTTCTGGTGATACAAACAGCATCATAAAAAAAAGGGACACGATTTCTTTCATATTTTATAAACAGAAATGTCAACTTTCTGTTACTTATAGTTTGAAATTAGAAGTGCATCTTTTTTAACAGGGTGAATTAATACATGAAGAAAAATGATTTGTGCTTAGCCTTCAGTGTATGTTGAACAGCTCACCAAAAGAGTACAGCAACAGTCCAACACTCAGCATGGTCACACTTGCAGCCCATCCAATTAACAAGAAAGCTGGAATCAGCAACATAATAGCCTGCAAAATGAATGAGTCACAGGGTTACATTTAAGCTCCGCTTGTTAAAGCCTAGCTCTAGGTGTCCTGCCAGTTCTTCTCCACTGATGGGACTACATTTAAGGTAGAAGCAGAGTGCCACTTCTTCCCGAGTAGACATTTCAAATTCACCTGGATGGCCACAAATCAGCGCAATTTTCTTCTGTTTTCTCTCACTATCCATGATTGCAGACCACATGCAGGCTGCTGTCACCTAGAACACAGGCTATAGTTCTCCCACAACCCATTTCCCACAGTTGAGAAAAAGATGCTTTCACAGCATTCTCTCTCACATGATCTACTGGTTTTTGATTTTTCCTCTTGTTCTGTGTTGAACTGGACAGAAATCCAGCTTTAACTTTACCTCCTGAGCTGGCACAAGAGATCAAAAAGCTTGTGTGCAACAGGACTACAGCTCCTCTGCTTTTTGTCAGTCGTACTGACTGATTTTATCTTTAGCTTTCAGAGTCCATACTTCTGGAGTCAAGAAGAAAAAAAAGGGGGGCAGGCAGGAGGAGTGGTGGGGAATGGCATTTGAAATTCAAACCTAAAAACATTCTTCATCTCCTCCAAGAGCCTGGACTTCAGTTTCCCTGTGATGTTCCCCTGGCATACAGAGCTTTCGCAGGAAAGACAGATCAGTTAAAAGCTGCTGCGTGTTTCATAAAAGAGGGTATTCACTCCGACCAAATGTCTCATTTTGAGGATTCTGTTATAAATGAGCCACTGGAAACAAGCAGGGGATTTCTCCACAAGGCTTGCACCCCGGCCGGAGTAAACATACCTGCTTTATAACTCTATTTGAGTCGTAGAGTTTTTTTTTTCTGCGAATCACTACACTTCCCAGTACAGGGAAGAGGAAGGTGTGTTACAATTAGTGGGGCAAACCACAGTTAGCATAAACTGCAGTGCAGTGACAGCAAACACAGCAGGCTGGCAGAGTACATGGAGGATGTCGATGCACAGGATAAAGGGGCACTAACACAGCCCTGTGAGTTTTCATTCACAGAGAAATGCTTCCTATGTGACACAACAAACTGCCATTAACTTTTAGCTGCCAGGGAGTAGGACAGAGATGATTTCCCCAGCTAAGAAAAGCTGAGTCAATTCACTCTAATGCAGTGCACTTTGGTAATCTTTATTACCCTGCCACCGTTGAAACAGTCTTAAAATAATGTATAGTCATAGAATCCTAGACTGGTTTGGGTTGGAAAGGACCTTCAAGATTTCCTAGTCCCAACCCCCCTGCCATGGGCAGGGACACCTTCCACTAGCCCAGGTTGCTCAAAGCCCTGTCCAACCTGGCCTTGAGCACTGCCAGGGAGGGGGCAGCCACAGCTTCTCTGGGAAACATGTGCCAGGGCCTCACCACCCTCACAGTAAACTGATGGAGGCTTTAACAGTCCAAGCACACTTACTACCAATCAGACAACAAAAGTTCAAGAACACTCGAAACCTGCTTTGTTTGCACACACAAACATAAATGACAAAACATATGTACTTGTCCCACAGCTGTATAAACTGCAGGGAACCTCTCCCTGTCACCCCAGTACTACAGCAGCAGTTCTATGAGGAAAGAGGCAAGCAAAACAAAAAAATGTACACTTTTGTCAGTGAAACTACAGTCTGAACATTGGTACATGCTATTGTTATGTGCAATACTGATAATCACAAATTGAAGATTGGAGGTAGAATCTATTTTACCCTTGTCCACCAGTGAAATGTACTCTAGGGAAAGCCTGACAAACACAGAGATGGCCAGACTGATGATGTCCCTGAAAATAATTTGCCAGAATGAGTCACAGATCAGCTGTGTTTCAATGTCTGCACTGCAAGAGGAATCACTGAAAGAAAGCATAACCTTCACAGCATTTCACCTAGCTTGCGCAAACAGACACTCTATTCTCATTCCCTCAGTTATACATGAAAAGCTCAAAGTTTCAATAATATAGTTGATAAGGTAAGAAATGGCTCTAATGTTCCAGAGTTTAATTAGACTGGTAAGTGCTCAACAACCAAGGTGTTGAGAAGGCATTTAGCTGGATGAGACTTTTTTTTTTTTAATTTGACAAGTACAGTTATAGCCTCCAACTAACCTTCATTGCACTCTGGACTGAAAATTAACATATCAGATTTGTGGAGGAAAAGAAAAAAAAAATTACCCTTTTTACAGCTCTTATTTCATTTCCTGGCTTGATTCGGCGAGCATAGCCTCCCTGGATCACAGCCATTGTTATTCCAATAAAGAAAAACATCTTGCCCTGCTGCATGCTAGAAGGGAGGCGAAAACACAGATTATGGAGTCACGCACAGAGCATTCCACCCTGGGATTCACAGGTTCAGTGTAGACTCTTTTCTGAACAAAAGAGAGAAAATGGGTTTTGGTGCTTGCATGAGCAGTGCAAAGTTCATAATATGCTGACATGAGTTTCCATGGCAGACAGCAAGAATATTAACCCATGAGGTCTTACGTAGAGATGGGATGGCTGCTGGCAAATGGTGCAATCATCTCTAGACTGCTATGATGTAGTTTTATCATTTCTAGGGTGGCCCACAAAGAATCAGCATGTTAATTACCCTGTATCATACGCACAAGAGTTGTTGGTTTCCAAGGAACAAGTGTTTTGTTTTCTCACCACCACTGCCACCACTCGTGCAGAGTTTCATTAAGGCCACCAAGGCACAACAGGGGCACTGGCATGGTGGTGATCATGTACTGCACCAGGAACAGTGAAACATCACTCCCTCCAGCCTTAAATATTTCTTCAAATTTTCCTTTCACCCCTCTTATCTACTAAATTATGTGGATATTCTCAGCTAAAAGTCCTCACCTCCATAACAAGCTTCTCTGTCACACAGCCTGTACTGTCAGCATTGAGTTGTGCATCTCACTGCATGGCTGTCCTGAAAGGACTCTACAGAAGCAACCTTAATACACTAGAAAACCTTCCCTTGATGCACACACATTAGTTAAGCCACGAACTGTAATGAAAGAGAGACAGGGAAAGAGGAGACAACCCCCTGAAAATTACTCAAAGGAAAGGACACACATAAGGAATCAAGCTGCAAGATCATGCCCCTGGCTGGAAATCTTTTTATGAGCTGGCAGGAAAAGTATTTCCAGCTGAGCTGCTGTTAGTGGATTCTGTTCTCTTTCTTCTCAAGTATTTGACTAAAGGAAAACAAACTCTATGATATAATGACTGTACATCATATAAAAGGCAGAACTCTGATGAGCAAATATAATCACATAGCTATCCCTCCATCCTTCGCCTCTTCTGTGCTTCAAGATACTGAAGAACTCTTCTGGGCAAGAAGAGAGAAGGTTTTATTATAATCAATACAACTAGCTCAGCTATATTTCAGGAGTTTTAATTTAATCTTGTGTATTGATTTTCTCTAGATACTAGAAATTGTAGATTTGGTATTTCCTTTCATGATAAACAGTGTGCCTGTATTTTCATAAATTCTTCCCTGCAAAGCCCAAGTATCACTGAATTCAGTGATTGCTTCTGAGTGTTTTTACTAACCTCATAAAGTCTCTCTTGAAAATAAATGAAGAGACACTAAATCAAGATTTTAGAAAATATCCTAGACAAAATATACAACATTTATCTTCTAAGTGTGTTATACCTGCTGAACTGGAATCTCTGGTGAGTGAGAAAACTCAGTGTATACTCCAAACCGGAAAACAGGAAGAGGTACAGGAAATAAGCCAGGCCCAAGATTTTGAGATTCTGAAGATCTAAACAAACAAAAAAACAAACGGGGGGGGGGGGAGAAACACCGTGGTGTTTTTCAAGCATAGCTTCAGAACATAACAACAACAGCAGAGCAACATTTATCAGCTGTACACGGAGAAGTTCTCACCTCAGACGCTCACTTTAAATAACCATACAAGACATGCCATAAAATGACTTCTGCCCACTACCTGCCTTTGTATGAGGGGAGGAGAGCCAAGAAGACTGATCTTTCTCTGAGTCACTCTGGTCCCACTCACCCAGTCCAGCCCCTCTGCCTCACACTCACATCCTCCTCACCTATATGAGGATTTATTTATTTATTTTAATCAATACCTGTATTCCACCTAATACCTTGAGGCTGCTCTCAGGATGATACTGGCTAAAGCACAGTATCCCTTCTTCTAAGCTACAAATGGTCTGTGACAGATTACCTTACCTGGTTTACTGCCAATGCAAGGTTTAACAGGTTTTCTCCAAACTGGCAAATATTACTGATGATTACTGATCATCAATGATTACTGATTACAAATATTCCTGATGTAGCAGCAAGGAGTACTGAATAAGTTGGTGGCAAACACTGATTTATTTTCTACAGCTTAAATAATTTCATGTAGAGAAATGGCCAGCTCAAATCCTACCCCTACCTATTTACTGAGAAATAAATTTCCAGTCTGAAGTTTCCTGGTTTGCAGCTTGCATAAGCTAACTCACTTCTCCCTTACTCATGCCTTGATCTATCTTTTTAAATCTTTTCACTCACTAAAGCCTACCCCATGCTGCAGCCAGTACCTGAAGAAAAAGCAAGCAGCAAGTCAGAAATCTTCAAAACACTAACCTCCAAAAACTTATTTTGGGAATAACAGGACCAGCATCCAACAGAACCTGCAATTCCTTGTTCATAAGTTAGTAAGGTGGGTTTTAAATGAGTGAACAGAGCACTGCTTCTGAAATCATCTGAGTAAAGTTTTCACTTAGAAACCACCACCACAAAAAAAAGACATATGATATTAATATAAAAAGCCATCTAACACTTACTTGCCTCTGAAGGGGATTCCTTTCCTCGGGTGACTGCAGAGAACTGAAATAAAGCCAAAGGACTGAGCAAGTCAACTGCTGCCTGAAATCCAGATGTCACAGAAGAGACCTGATCAGAGAAAGAAAGAGGTTTATTTAAAAACCTGGTGTAGTAACTACTGCAGGGAATTGACAGTAACAGTCAAATGTGCTTCTACACCTACACAAATCAGCTGAGATGAAACAAGACAACTGGCATTGGGGTTTGAGTGACCGCAACAGCCCAGACCTTCTGAACACAGAACTGGCTCCAGCGCTATAACTAGAAGGTAGAGCACTGATAGCAGCTTTCCCTGAAGACAGAAAACAGATTCTGCTCCGAGTTCTTAAAAAGCAGAAGAGGATCATTCTCCACACCCTTGAAGGTGGCTTTATTTGGTTCAACTTGTGCATCACCCCTCATGTCCAATGAACATTTACTGGGAAAATAATGGCACATCTGCCTGCAAGCTCATGGGAAGGTGCGGATTTGCTTGTGTGTTACAAGTCTGAGAATAGTATACTTGGAGCACATCAAACAATGCTCTGGTTTTGTACTGGTTGTTCTCTTAGCCAGCCAGTGACACCTCCTGGGGACAAAAAGGAAAATATAATTTTTAGAGAGAATCTTTGGAGAGGTTGTTAGAGAGATTTCTAGAGCGATTATGCCCAGTCACATTGTACAGCTTTTTAAAGAGGAAAATTTATTTTGTAGCACTTCTGGTCCTTCTGCATACATCTCAACCTAATTACACACCTAGTGGCATTCTCCCTGCTCCTTATCCACCAGTGCTTAGGAGACGCTTATTCTTTCATCTACAGAGAATTTAATTCATTTTTTTCTTCTTAAGTTAAAACACTGAAGAAGAAATAATGTATAAATTCTTAAGGAAACAATTCCTTTTAAAGTAGGAGAATTTAGACTGTCACTCTACATGACAGTCCAAGGAAGAGATAAAACAGACTCAAGAATCCTGTATAACCACACTCAGTATTTCACATCTTCAAAGCACTGCACAGACTTTATCTGATCAACTTCCTTCTCTTCCCCGATAGGGAGGGAGGGATCTATTACCCCCCTGAGGGCAGAGATTAAAGGTCAAATTATCAGTGGAACTTCATCTTGGTGCATGACCTGAGGACTCATTTGAACTGGATTTAATAAAGCTGCAAACAAATGAACCTTCAATATGGTATTAACATGTCCCCTGTCTTGTTTTGATAGTCAGAGCTTCTGAGTATCCAACAGCAGAGCTCTGGATCCCATTAGTCTCACAACAGCAACCAGTTCAATATACCAGGCCGGTTTTGAATAAAGCCATAAAGCTGCTGATCCACACAGAACAAACTGGGATATTTATTTCCCTTTCCGCTGCATGTATTGGAGAGAGTAAACAGACGCTCCCAAGAAGCAGCTTCCTCATGCTTTTAAAAGGTCTGTAAGAGGATTTCCTGAAGCTGGCTTGTAGTAATCCTCAGTTCCTGCATTTGTTGGCATGGTGGTGTTTGTACTACAGCATAGAGAATCTGGTAACAAGCAACTCTCTTCAAGCATGTTTGCAGTAATAAAAAAAAAACCAAAAACCTGTAGTTTGTACCTGTTTTGAATTATTCTCCATGTCAGACAGTGTGCCAAGCTGCTTTGCACTACAAGGCAGTAGAGGATGTACATTTTATGTGTGTATGTTTAAAATCTGAAGTGTTTTATGAAATACATATACACGTATTAGATATTTTTTAGTATGTGTGTGTATGTGCATATAAATGGCTTTTAATTTCTGCTATCTTTGCCCTGGAAGCAGTGATCTAGAAGTGACTTCATCCACCAATTGATAATGAAAATCTTGTTCTAGAACTGACAAAAGTGTTTCACCACTCCCAAACAACAAAGTGTACACTGACAGTTTCAGTCAATGTCCAGCTGGATGGAGTTTAGATTCTTCACAGGTTCAAAACCTGCAACATCTAACTTGTATTTAATTTCTATGCCTATGATTTATTACTCCAAAATAGCTCAATTTTACTTCATGGTCACCCCAAAAGTCACCTTGAATGGCAGACTTTTTTCCCAGTGTCTTTGTTTACTTTTTTTTTTTTTTTTTTTTTTTTAACTAAGTAACATGTCTTGAAGGCAGAGTCAGTCCAAATCAGGAATACAGCCTGGGCCTTCCAAGCTCCAGCCTTACCCTTCAAATCAGACACTGTTTAGTAAGCATAGGAAAAAGCCTTGCTTTTCCATAAGTCTGCTAGTGATGATGCATAGCCCTATACATGGTCCTTACATGATTAGCTGGACACCAGGAAAATTTTGCGTGACCCTCCCTTCAGCTAGGCAGCCTTGCCCATGACTAGCTTAGTTAAAAATTAAGTCAAAAGCTCTTAAAGGGGACAGATTCCATTAGAGACCTTTCTATTCCTCCCTTCTCTCAAGGAGGTCACAGCAAGAGCTGCTTTTGGCCACCTGACATAAAACCAGTGTCTCTGATAGATGAAAGGTACAGTTCTCTAGTCACTCTTCACCTGATAAACTTCTGGAAAAGTTGAAATAAAGGCCAAGAAGAACAGCACAAATTCTGTTTTCTCTGTATGAAACCTCATCCTTGTTCCCCCTGCCCCCCTCCACCTTCCCCTTTCTACAAGTTAATTCCAACATGAATGATTGTGAAATACTTATTTTCTCCTGTGAAAGGACTGACAGAGAAACAAGAATATCATGAGAACACAGCATATTAAAAGGAAACAGATGTCTGATCCCATTGGCACATCCTCCTATGGGTTATCATTATCATTTCCCCTCTTTGTACAGCTTTGTCCTTCCAATGCATCCACTCCTATACTTTGGGAGCACCTGCTCCAGCTCAGCCCAGCCAAGTTCCAGAAAGGCAGCCAACATACCTGCCTTTCCTCTGTCATCCACAGGCCAAGAAAAGTGTTCCTCCCTCACTCAAAGTGGGAAGAATTACCAAAGAAAAGTGCAAGGCAGCCTAATAAGTGAAATTACAAATACCCTAGTACACATAAACCACATGGAGCCACTGCCCAGATGCAGGCTGAAAGGAAACAGCACAGAAGCACCAACACTGACACTTGATCACAAGAAGCTCCAATGCCAGACAAACCAGTACCTCATCAGCAGCCAAACATCACGCGTGTTTTGCATGACTGGGACCTGACCGTGAAAGGCATCTACTAACCCACCTCATGTAATACCCGCTGCTGCACAGAGACAGTGCCCCAAAAGTAGGGACAGAGCACTCATTTTCTTATCAAAATTCAGTCATGTTGGCTAAGGCAGACTAGCTTATCAGAAGAACTCTCAAGAGGACAGTAGAAGGGGGAGGGAAGTGTTCAGTCATCATACACTCCTACCAGGCGCTGAAGCCATTTATCCTTCTGCAGCAAAGGTGGAATTGTTTACAGAATACAGATTTGCTCTACAGCACTTCCCTATGTTAACATGTTGCCACCACCCCACAGCGTGCAGCTATAGCCAAGAACAGGATTTTATCCAGAATGTTTAGAAACAGCCAAATAGAAAAGTGGAACAGATGACACATGGAAGAGCTGTGGGGAAAAAAAAAAAAAAAAAAAGCTGTAGTGCTTGGGGAGATAAACACAAGCAACCAATTTCACATGAGACACAACCTGACAACCTGCTGGGAAACACTCAAGAAAGGTCTAAAGTTTTGCCCCAGCAGGGGCACTGCGGACAAAAGTTTCCAGAACAATTCTCAGTATCAAATAGGTTTGGCTATCCAGAGACAAAGAACATTTCAAAGGCTGAGAAACAAGTGACAATAGGAAAGATCCAATCCAGCTGAAAGCCTCAGAGTGCTTCACCCAGATACCTAGGGCTGAATCCAGCCTCTCCCACACAACCGAATGAGATTGCTCCAAGAGAGTTTTAATCAGATGTATCTTGGAGAGCATCTGATCACATAATATTAAATCATAGCGTTAATAAATGTGTGGCCCCACAAATCCAATCAGTCACTGAATTTTAGCACATGTAGATATTTTGTATCTGTGGAAGACAGCACAGCTCAGCGATAACAGTCACTTGCTACTTGAGTGTTCAAAATAATCAAGCAAAGACAAGATAATAGTTAAGAAAATTTCTAACATATAATGAAAGAAAATCCAGTCTCTGATGCATTTACTTTTATGAGGAGCTGAAATTCATCCTCAAGCAGTCACTATGATCATAGTTTAAAATTCACCCTCTTCCTTCTAGGGTCCCATTAGTTTTTGAGAAATTTAAACCTAATACACCAAACCCAGCAATTAAGCAGACATGTTAACTATAAAGAATTTCTCATGTTACACTAGGCTAGGAGGTGGGACCATCATGCAACCACTCTGACACCAGACTGAATAATAATAATTAATTCCTAGTCCCAGGAATGAGCTAAATTGTTGAGATACTGGCTCAGTCCCCTTTTCGTTGCTTCCAGTATTTCAACAGTTCTCAAATCCAGGTTTTGCAAGAAACACAGATCTTCAGATTTATAGTCCACTTACCCGTTTTTCTTTGGGAAGTGTCTCTGGAAGTAAGAAGAAGATGAAAATTAAATCAGCCACAGCAAACATGAGTGCTAACAATGCTGAACGAAGGTAGAAGACTTCTCCTTTCTCTGTCTCCATGGCTAGGTAAGCTCCAATCATGGGACCCAGGGTAAAACCAAGGGAGAAAGCAATGCCAATCATTGCCTGCAGTGATACAATGAACACAGACATTGAGTTTTAGATACTAGTTTGTTCAGGTAGCTCAGTTCTAAAATAGTCTGGATTTCCTGACATTTGCCTTAAAGAAATGTAACCAGATACAGACCTTAACCACCCTGAGGATGTAGGGAGTACAAAACAGAGTATTAAGTGTGAAAAAACCTGTTATTTCCAAATAACCAATTTTATTTTCTGTCCAGTGAGGAAAGTGGCAGGAACAAACTGCAATGTGGTTATGAGTGAAAGGAATCTGGGAAGGAAAATAATGATTTTTACTTCAGGGACTGTTCAGCCAGATAATCCTACACTTTTGTAGTGTAGAACTGGAGAAGGGAGGACAGCACCATGGTAGGAATTCATAATGATGTCTATAGCTTCTAAAATGCTTCGGCAATTTCTGTATTTAGAAATGTATGTCTCATAAAGCAAACAGGCTGATAGGCTTCCCAGAAGAACCTGAATTTAATGCAAGTACTAAAAAGGATTTATGAACTCACTATGAAACCAGAGCATATGAAAGAAGAGGTGGAATCTGTACACATTTATGGGAGCTTAAAAGGGCACTGATTTGAGTCATCAGCCTCAGTGAGACCGCATAAGAATAGAACAGTGCAGGATCTGGCCCATTTTCTTTAAGAGATATTCAGAGATGTATACTCGCATTTGCAGGACCCAAACACATGTCATCTGAGGACACAATTCTCCTGCTTTCCTGAGTCTATTTAACTATATCTATAGTAGTAAACAAGGCCAGGGCACAATCAGCTGTCACCTCACAGTCTCCTGGGTTCTTTCAGCCTGCCTAGCTAGCACTCTCCCAGGCAATGCCCCATCACAGTTTGGGAATAGCATGTCAGATGCTATTCCCTTCCCAGAAAGCAGAATGAACATGCCTACTCTGCTGCGGAAGAGAGTATAAGCCATGTGGATGTGAGCCTTGCTGTACTATATGACTTGCTCTCAGGTCCTAAAAAATCAGCCCTGAACCATTTTATTTACTAGTGCTGTATGGCTGTCCCTCTCCAGAAATAAAAATATATTTTGGCTTACCAGAACGATAATAAATTGCTTGGAAAACTCATTAGCTATCACTAGGAAATCTAAAGCTTTCCCTCCCAAGAAGCAGCTGTCCTACACAGTGGCTTATAACAATCTGTTAAGAGGTTTGGGTCCCCAAGGTTTTTATAAGATAAAAGATCTAATTAGTAATTCACAGGCAGAGTTCAGCCCACAGGGTGTTTCCACCTAGTCCAGTGCCTTCTGGGAGAGGACAGAGCAGCAGTTCATACTACTCGCTGCTCAGTCAGCCAAATGCAACATCCTTTACCCTCTGAGCTCAGATTCTGAAGGAAGTCAGAAGGCACACTGTGCTGTGCAGTGCTGCTGCGCTTCCACAGCTTGGAAAGGTGAGAAAAATGGGTTGTCCTGTAACTGGCTTCCAGCTTCCAAAACTGGGCCAGGAGACCTTTCAATTTTTCAGCTGTTATAATGAGGATTGCACTTATCAGCAGGAGTAACAGATACAACACTTATAGAGGTAGTAGTTTTTCCACCTCTAGGGCATCTGTGTTTCACTTGTAGGTAAAAGTCACTAACAAGTAAAGTCTGAGAGCTCACCAGCAAAATGGTCTGTCATGTTTTCAGAAGCAAGGCAGTATATAAAGTCATGTTTACACTTGATCATACCTGAGAAAGACATTCTGAGCACCTTAAATCAGTTAAGAGTTACCCAGTAAACCCAAACATATACCCCACATGTGTTACTCACCATGCCCTTGCTCCGTGCTTTTGGAGAGTCCAAGTCAGCAATTATAGCTGTGGAGAGGCTGACGTTCCCTTTGCTTATTCCACCTACAATCCTGGAGAGAAGAAAAATGCCAAAAGTCCTAGAGGCAGCCCATAGCGCGTATGATGTTATCAAACCCATCTGCAGAAGGAAGAAAGTGTTCTTTATAAAGCCGAGCAAAGTTGATATAATTTCTGCATACTTCCCAAATAAACATTTGATTTTTTTGTTTGTTTTCAACACTGCTCCAAACCCCATGTACCAGAATGTCTGAATATACTGATACTGCACTATGACCTGGACAGTGATATAAAGAAGTAGAAACAGATCCATACAAACTTCATATAAATGTGAGGTTACTATTAAAATTAGAAGAACAAAGAAAGTTCAGAGGGAGTAAAATCAGTCCTGGGCACAAAATCATTTTTATACATCCTGCTCCACTTGTTTTCAACTTCAAGAGAATTCTGATATAAAAATAAGAAGAATTCACAGTTCTAGCCCTTAAATGTCATAATCAATCATAAGTGCACGTGTTTATTTAATTCACTCTCAGGAAGCCAACAGGATAAGGGGATATGTATATAATTTACCGCGGAGTTCCTCCATATATGTACTTGCTCTGCACTGCTTCTGTGATTAGAACCCCGTAACAGCAACAGAAAAAATGTCTTGGAGAATGTTCATGTTCATAAGAAACATATCTTACACTCTTACATAGCTGCTCTTAACCAACAATCCCAAGGCTCTGTGAAACAGGTCATGAAGCAATCACTTGGGGAACTAAAATATACAGGGATTAAGTCTAACATTTGTAAACAGAGCATCTGAAGTCATACCCCCGTACCCAGGGGAAAGGGATTCTGGAAAATCCCAGGAACAGATAGGTATTTTGGTGTCATTCTCGATCTGGGAAGCTCAGCTTAAACACCTACATTTGGAACTGTGGCCAAGTGATTTGGCAAGATGCCGTCAACAACCAAGAGACCTAGAATGTTTAAGTTTCCAATCCTTTGTGCTAACCACAAGACCATGGTGCCTTCAACTGTGTGTTGAGATGGCATGACTAAAATCAGTATGAGCCACATACCACTGTCATCAAGATGACAGGCCTTCTGCCCAAGCAGTCCGACACAGCACCAGTAAGGGGAGAGGAAAAAAACTGTAGGATGGAAAAGATTGAGCCGATCAGACCTAAAAAAAAACACCAAACAAAAAACAAACCAATATATGTCATTAGGCTTGCCAGCCAACCTGTTCCAGACCTATTAGTCCATTATATCCTTTAAAAGTACACAATGAAGTGTAAAACAACAGCTATAAAGAACAGCTTTATATCTGAAAATAAGCCACCCTCAAAACACTGATCATCCTGCATTGTCATTTAACTGAGGTGGCAGATACAGACAGACCAGATATACAGACAGACCAGATATACAGACAGACCAGATATACAGACAGACCAGAATAAAAGGAATGAACTGGATGATTCACTGGTTACTTCACTGGTGAGAATGGGTTTGAAAGTCACTGGTTATAATAGAATGCTGATTCTCCACCTGACTACATACATTTTCTGTTCTTAAAGCAGACATAAGGCAGTCTTTAATAGTCACAGTTCTTTTAAGATTGTTTTGATTGTTTGAACCTGATTCTGTCACACTTAATTAGCTTTTCTTTCCTTCTTATCATGGGAAGGACAGAAGCACTGCTGTGAGGCACCCTAAGAGGTAGGAGTGATTCCAACAGACCCCAAGAGTCTTTGAAATCTGCCTCCAGCTTCTGTGATCTTTAATCCCTCTCCTCTCTTGCCATTTCTAGCTTCACTTATTCATTTGCATTTACCCTCTCAAAAAGCAGGCAAAAAAATGCCTTGCTGTCACAGTTTTTCTCTAAGGGAAAAACTGGGTTATATGTCTCAGATCATTCAGCTATCAAACTTTAAAAGGCAGAGAAGAGACCAGAAGTTCTGTTCCCATCAACTCTGAGGGAGGCAGATATTGATATTGAACACCTTGGCGTGAACAGCTGCTTGTGATAGCTCAAAAAAATGTGTAAAAAAAAAAATCTTATAGATTGGTACACTGGCAGTTTATGTTAACGAACATGCAAGTTTTCTTTCTTGCATTTCTAGCACTGTCAAAACACCCAGATGTGTCAAACACTTCAAAGCCAGGGAGCAGCAAGAGCAAGGCTGTTCCACATGGGGGAATGAGTGTGACCACAGCACTGGCAGTGCCCTCGCCAACCAGGGCACAGTCCTACGTGATCCAGATGGGTTGAGCAGAGCAGGGTGTGACTAGAAGGGTAGTTCCCTTGACAGTCCCAGACAAGGCAAGGGTTAGACATCAAGTCTATCTGGGGAGTCCAGTCAAACCAGCAGGAGATTGGGTCAGAGAAAGGAGTGGAAACAAGACTACAATTCAGGAGAGAAGACACCTGCAAGGCAGGCCCATGGTCCATCCAAGAGACAGGGCCAGAAACAGTTCTGGAGATAAGGCTATACTTATGATACAGCTCAGGCAAGGTCCAAGTCTGAGCCAAAATACAGCTCCTGAATCACTGGGCAGAAAGTGCGTGCGTGAAGGTTGGTCACTACAACAGAGTACTGGTGCCCTCAGGGCCTTGACAAGGACAGGGAAGGTTCCTGCCCTGAAGAGATTGCAGTCTAAGATGAAAGAGAGCAGAATATATCCTGCATCGGAAGAAGCAACAAGATGATCTTGCAAATATCTTTCCAATCCTATGCTCCTTGTTGCAGATGAATCCAATGAAGAAGCAAAGGCCGCAGGAAGACTGCAGTGGCCTCTGCTTAACGTCACAAGTATAATGAACCTCTCCACTATCACCATTTAAGCTGCAATCAGATAAAATGGATTGAGACAGGAGCTGACTACAACTAAAATAACTTGTCCATCTTCCCCTGCTTCTGTAGCCTTGGTCAACTCTCCAGTGAGCTAATTCAACTCAATCTGGCAGAAAATAAATCCGGAAAAGTACAGAAGAAATTTGCTGGTTTAGCAGATTAGATGGCTCATTAAGAAAAACTGTCATCAAAGCCTGCATAACAGATTGAGTCAAATGTGACAGATACCAGGTTAGTTCAGCCACCCTCACTGCCTGTGGCTGCCAGATAATTAGTGAACATTCCCACTACTATGCAATACTGCTTCGAAATACTCTTCTCTCAATACTTTTCTCCTAGAGAGAAAAGAGCAAGGGATACCAACTTCTTTTCTGAGAAAGTGTCTATTCTATTTCCATGTTCCCCATTAGATGTTATATTTTCTTCAAAGGGTAAAATAGTCAGTTGGACTCCTGAAGTAGCCCAGAGATTTCTCCTTCCCCTTGAAAGCCACTGGGCCAAGTCAAGGGATACAGCACTCGGGAGAGTACAGGACACGGTAGGTAAAAGGAAAGGCATCCAGTTCAACATGACTGTATGAGCTCTCAGCCCCTTGTTTAAACAAAGCCTGAGATAGAGAGAAGGAACAAGGAGGCAGCATGCAGTCATGCCTTACAGGAGACAGAAAGCAGTTTCTGAGGGATTAAAGACAGCCATTTCCTACCATTCAAAGCCAGTAATCTGACTGAAAATGAGCACAGAAACCCTGCAAGGACACTGTGGGAAAGAGGAAAATTGTTTATAAACTTTCTAATGTCTGTTAAACCCAAAAAAAGTACTTTAAATAGTAACAATACATTCACACTTATATTCTAATAACGTTTTGCTTTTCTTTTCAGTTTAAAAGCCTTCTGCCTATCTTGGGGGAGGCCTCAGCTCCCTAAAATTTCCAATTAAAATTAACTCAGACAGGCTCACATCTTCGTATTGTGAAATCCCATTTTCCTCGCAACTCTAGATCACAAGGAGCCAAAAGAGCCTCTGATGATTAACATGACATATATGCTGCTGGATTTCCTGAACTACTCCTGGTGGAGCTCAACCATACCAGACTGTCCCAGTGACAGGAAATGGTTCTGGACCCTGCAAGTCTGCAGCTCTCCTGCTTTTAATAGGACTAATGAGATTTAGCAGCAGTGCTGCACTATAGCTGCCCAGCAGGGAGGTAAGATTTGAACTCACAAGACTCTAATTCCACTGCTTCCTACTGATTGATCTCCAATCACATGCAGATCAATTGTTAAGGAAGAGTAATTTCTGTGACTCTGTAGGGTCTAGCACAGCAGGCTCCTGAGCCTCAGCTGGCTGTCTGACAATAAGGAACAGCAGGCCTGTATTCCTGGAGCAATCTGTAGAACAAATTGGGCAAGATCGTAGGATAATTCTGTTTTAAAGAGACCTCTGGAGGTCACCTACTCCAACTGCCTGCTCATATGGTCAGCTACAACGTCAGAGCAGACTGTTCAGGGCTTTATCCAGTTCGGGTTTGACAGCCTCCAAGGATGGAGACTACAAAACCTCTCTGGGCAACCTGTTCCACTGGCCATCCTCACTGTGAAAAAATTCCTCCCTATTTCCAGTCTGAACCTTCCTTGCTTCTACTTGTGCCAGTTGCTTCTCCTTCTCCCATCATGCACCCCAGCGAAACATCAACAAGCCCAGGTCCCTAGAGTCTTCCTGGCCCTCTGCTGAACTCGTCGCAGTTTATGGATGTCTTTCTTGTACTGGGGGGCCAAAACTGCATGCAGTGCTCTAGATGTGGTCTAACAAGCACTGCAAAAAGGGGGACAATTGTTTGTCTCAATCTACTGGCTCTGCTTCTGTCGATACGGCCTAGGTGCTACTGGTGCTTTTGCTGCCAGGGATGGCTCACGCCCAGGCTGCTGCTCATGAGGATCCCGGGAACTTTACAGCAGAGCTGCTCCCCACCAGTCTGTATCATTACAGGAGATGACTGCTTCCAAAGAGCAGGACTTCACATTTATCCTTACTGAATTTCCTAAGATTCCTGTTGGCCCATTCTTCCTGCCTGTCCAGGTGTCTCGACATGACAGAGATGAGGCTGTCCAACTCTTCACTGATATCAGCATGATGAAAACAAAATCAATTATAGCCTACTGTAAGAGATATTTTTCGTTATTTAAATGTAGCAACAGGCAAGTAGGCTTTCTGTATTTGTCATTTTCCTCATCATTCATTTGAATCAACACTGCAAATAACTTGAAAACAACACTTTTTTTTTGGCCCATAAGCTTGTTTGTTTAATTGCCATACCTCCAAACAAGACACTGTTGTATTTCCGTTCTGGGGGCATCCCAACCATCACTGCAAACCAGTCCACACCACGTTGCAATGACAAATAGAATCCATCCTGCAAAACAGTTAACTGGTAAATAGAAGCAGGAAGATGGCTTCTCTGTTTCATTTTCAAAGACAGCATCACAGTGATGGCTAGTGACTAGAGCTCTAGTGAACCAGAGACAATATTAGATGATTCCTTCCCTCTTGCTCCTCCATGGGAAAATTTCCTCACTGATTAGTTGTCATAGGCTAAAATTAGCTGAAATTGTGAACTTGCTAACAGGCAGCCAATAATTGGGTGTGTTTGGGCAGGGGAATGTCTGAACTTGAACTCTTTTAAACCATCAGGCCTGCTACTTGCAAGTAGCATGTTCTGAATCCTTCAACTAATAAAGCAGCAAGAGAGACACTCTATGCCTCTGCATACAGAATATTTAATGTAGGAGAACCAGGGGCTTGTAGGTCCAGAAAGAGATGGTACAAAAAGAAGGGTTCCTAAAAAGAGGAGGAATTGAAAAGAAGGGGGCCCTGAAAAGGTGAAGAACTTGGCTATAAGAAATACAGTGGAAGTAGGGGAAGATCCTGGAGATCAGAGCCCATGGTTAGGGTAGAGATAGGGTTGTAAGAAAGACAAAGCCTACAGCCACAGCTGGAGTAGGGTAGGAAAGGGGCTATGAAATAGAGATGTGGGCTGCAAAAATAATCCTCCCCTGACAAGATCTTCATCTTGTCCAGTAACATCTGAGAATGGTAACTGTGAGCAGCTGCACAGCAAGGAACCAACACAACTTTCTGCCCTGCATTCCCAGACCAGCAGCCAGATGCCTGCTAAGAATGGAAGTTGAGACCTAGTGAATGTGACGCTGGAGGTGAAAGCAAGTGAGTGTGTGAAATACTGAAGTAGGGTAAAAGCTCTTATCTCTTTGGTTCATAGATAAACCCAAGTATGCAGATCCATTATGGACTGTCATTTGCTCTGTCTCCCAGTAACATCAGTGTAAGTCACAAACGCACCAGTAATTACAAGGACTAGCCCCTAAGAAATACCTGAATTTTTCCCAAAACATTTTAATGAAAAAGCAAGAGGGAAGAGACTTATGCAAGTTCACAAAAAAATTCAGTCCATGCGCCATTTAAATGTGCTGGATATTATTAACCAGCCTAAAGCTATTTGGTTTGCCCCGTGGCAAGGGATTTTTCTTCCATCCCTCCCTAAAGATCTCATACCTAAAATTTTCAGCAGGCTGACTTTCACTCTTACTTACCTCAGCCTGGCTGTAATAATCAAGGATGGAAGGAAACAGTGGCAAGATGAGAGCGAATCCCAACAAGTCAATGAAGAGTGCCAGGAAGACAATTGTAATAACACGGCTGTTGTTTTGTTCTTGCTTGTCATTGATGGAGCTGCTGCTAATTTCCCTCTCTTGCAGAGGCATGTTTCCAGGTGCTCTGCTTCTGAAAAATTACATTTATAACAGTGAACAGGAAGCATTTGCTGGCCTTTCATAAGAGTATCTTGCTGATTCATTCTTGTTTTCTACAGACTTCACAAAAATAAATGTAAGCTATGGCTATACGAAGCTACCTGGTTTTCAAGGGAACAGGAACCTCAACTCTCTAGTCTTGGTTATTAGCTCAGCACCCAGTTTGCTCACATTGAGAACATGCTACAAGGGCAGTAACTCTATTATGGGGGCATCCCAAATAAAACACAGAATGAATCATCATTTAAGGTTTGCTAACACGTGAGCAATGCTAATGTAATTTTACCAAATGTCTTCAATTCAACATTACAGTAAAATATATAAGAAAGGGCACTCTTGTTTTGAACACCCACTTTCAAGTAACTAACAGATTTTAGGCCTTCAAGATTTTTTTATGCCTTCAGTGTATTTTAGAAATGACTAAAGCAATAACTTTTTTTTTTTTTAAAAAAAAAGTAGACTTCCTAAGTATTGCAAGAATGCTGTCTTCAAGAAAAATCCCAGAGAGCAACAGCAACTCAAGAAACAACACAATAAAATTTTGAAACTTGAAATAATTTTTTCTTTCTCTGGATGACAGCCACTGATAGGTTGTATGAGTTGGGGCATCAGATGATTAAGGCAGCGTTTTAGTTTGTCAGAAATATCAGAACTATCAACTTTCTTTGATAATACTCCAACACTGTCTTAAGGACCTAAACAGGAATGCAGGCCATAAACCATTCAGTATTTAACACATAAAGAAGTCAATCCATATTCTGAAAAAAACTCAAATCTAACAGAGATCAAAATCAAGGAGTAATACACAAACCAGGAAACTGCAAACTTCAGATTTGTAAGACATTGCAGTATATCTCAGTCATAAAACAAGCAAACTTGCAGTCCCTTCTACTGCAAAAATCCCTGAACGTTTGTTGCACTAAAAAAAGAGTAAAAAAGGAGACAGAATTTCATCCAAAGTCAATCAATACTAAAATATTCATTGACTTTGATGAGTCCAGTTTGAAAACACTGAGCAGTTCTTAATATAAATTCCATTCCAGACAAGACATTCTGTATTACATTCACAAGGCATTTGTGCATATAACTTCATATTACACTAACAGAAGATCATAAAACTTTGTTATGCTCAGCAATAAACATTATTGTGAGATTTCTTTACCTGTGGATTCAGTTTACTAGTACTGAAGCATTATTAAAGTTCAAACACCGTAAGGTAAACATGGAAGGGGGCCACATGCAATCCATTTGTTAAACTCCCGGCATAATACTCTTAAATCTGCTAGTGAATAAAGCAGTTTGGTTATGTTCAGGATCCTTTTATTTAAAATGGTAAGTCACCACCACTACGAGTATTCAGCATTCTTTGTTTACCCAAATGATTTAAGAGTATCTGGAGCCAAAACAACCATTCCTTTAAACAAATCCTCCCTGGCCCTAGGTCTATCCAGCCAACTGTTGAAGGATGGGTTCATTGTGGCAGATTGTATCTTGGTTTTCCTCACAATTTGTTTATTCATCCTTTGAATTTTATGACCAAGATGAACTTTATTCCAGGGTTATTTACACAGGGTAACATCCTTTACACCTTACCCTCATGGCCATTTCAGCTATCGTGCAGCTTGAACCTACTGAGGCTAGCACTGACCTTTCATTTAGCTTCACTTTCAGCTACACAGATGCAATTTCCCTTGCGCAATATCCCAAGGTACTACATGTTTCTGCATTTGTGCTCCATCAGTTTTGTCGTTCAAACCTCTCCATATTTTTTGCTAGGCAGGAAACCACCAAACATTTTATAGGTCTTGGCATCCCGTCAGCAAAAACAAACCACTTCACCTCTACCATGACGTTTGTTTTCTGTAAGAGATATTCGAAGAGGGGGGTGGATTTTCAGTTTAGGGAAGTTGTCTCTCCGGGCTCTTGTGACCCTGACACCCGCTCAGCTCTCGCAGCCATCCCCTCAGGACTCCCCGTCCCTGTCTCACCCCTTCTGCCGTCAGGGCCGCGGCTCAAGGCTGTGCCCCTCAGGAAGACACCAGCCGCGAAGCCGGCCCTGCCCTAACGCAGAGAGATTTGTCATCTGCCCGCAGGAAGAATTTCGTCCTTCTGGTGTTTTCTTGCCACCCTTCTTACCCCTGGGATTTCCTAGGCCCAGCTTTACCTGCTATACCTCGGGAAGGCTCCTCTGACTCATTAACAAGTCCCGATTCAGGTCAAGAGCAGGAATTTCAACCGGGGGAGAGGGGGAAGAGGCGGCAATTTCCCAGCGCAGCCGAAGCCCGGAGGGGCCGCCGAGCGGGAAAGGGACGGTCCTGGGGAGATGTGGTGTCCGCGGCGAGGACTCACCGTCCCCCGACAGGGCACCCTCCGCCGCCGC